ATATAGTGGGGTCGTGGATATATAGATAGATAAGGCACTTTAACCCAAATGATATCTAAGATTGACATAAGTTTTTATTTTAATTCTTGAGATTTGAAATCATAGAAGTGGTCATGAGTTCCACCATCAATCATTTTGGTCAGTTCGTGAAAAATCTCTATTAAATAAGGATCAAAATAATAAAAATATCCTCAATTTAATAAACAATAGGTTAAAATGATTTGACAAATTTGAGGTTTTTTTTCTTCATTTTGGTTGTATTAATGAAGATTTTTCATGAAATAACCAAAATATTTGATGATCTCAGGAACCAAAGTGAAGAGTTATACTAATCTGTTAAGCTCCTTTGACCTATACATATATAGGCCTACTAAATAAGAAAAACTAGTAACAGTGATTGACATTTTAGTGTCTAAGTGTAAAGGACGTATCTTATAGTGTCCCGACAACTAACAATTAACCACCTCACCCTAATTATACTGTCATGACAACTAACCATTAACCACCTTACCCTAATACGACTCGGATTCTCTGCCCTCCCACTTCCCATGCACTTCTATCCCTTCTTATTTTGTAAGGTCACGGTTAAACCATGTCAACATTTTATATTGATTTTTTTTATAGAGATAATAAGAAAAAAATCAATAGTAATATAAAATGTTGATGTGGCTTAATCGTGACCGCACAAATAGGAGGAGATGAGAGTATATGAGAAGTGGAAGGGCAGAGAAGCCATGTCCACCCTAATATCTGTCAATTTTCATATAGTTAGGCTGCATTTTTTTTTTTTTTTTAATACAAGCTATATGAGAAAAAGTGAGACTCCAACGTGACTTCGAACGGATGGACAATACCTTTAACTTAATGAGGTAGAAACTGCATTTTGATAGGATATACGCGTGTGAGGATGTTGTCGACCTGTCAAGAGATTACATTTTTGCATGGTTGGGTGGACTGCTTCCTTGAGCCAAACCGACCATCCATGGAAAAAACGGATAAACGAAACAAATGGGACAAATATTGACTTAAATGGCATTTTATTGTTCGTTGAGACTTGGGAGGTAGTTAATATACGGTTCAAATACAGACAGTTGATAAATAAATATATGACAGTTACCTTGTCAATTAAGCAATGCATGTATATTATCTCTATTAATTAATGAAATTCTCTTTATCAATCAAAAGAAAGTAAAAAGACAGCTTAGTCTTTTATCATACAAAAAAAAAATGATGGGTAATAATGTAATTTCATAGGTTTAAATTTACTATTTTTTATTGAAACCTCACCTACATATGATATTAAAATATCTCTAATATTTAAAATTAAAAAAAAACAAAAAAACAAAAACCTCCCCACTCCCCCATGTTCTTTCTCTCTCTCTCTCTCTCTCTCTCTCTCTCTCTCTCTCTCTCTATATATATATATATATATATATATACACATCTCTCTCTCTCCCCCTCTGTCCTTCTCATTTTCTAAAAAAATATGTTCATACACACAAATACAGATAAACAGAAGAAGGATAAGTCAATTTGTTCGTGGTGCCTTCGTTTCAGGTAAGTCTGTCGGCCTTAATCTTATATACACGGCACTTTTCTGTGGACCTAATCGTCCAAATTGCAAAATCTTTGCATGCCTGCGATTTCTCCAAATGGCCAACTTCTACGAAATCAAACGTAAACTTTACAATGCGCGTGTTCATCTTTTTTTCCATCTATACCTTATCCAACTGCCCCCAACTACATGCATAAATTTTGATATGGATAACGTGTGCCCCAGTATAAAGGGAATATTTTTTTGGTTAAGAATTTATGGGATATTACGAATGCTAGTTTCGTATTTCACACTCCACTTTCTGAGTTTGAATTCTGCACCGGTGAATCATAAAATAGTGATCAATTGAAGGTTAAAATACCTATGTGCGTCCTTCCGACTCCTTAAAAAAAATAGAATGCAATGAAAAAAACCACCAACTAATCTCTTTTAAGAATGAAAACACAATATACCACTTATTATTTATCTCCAGTGTGAACGAAGGGTGGACATGGGGCCATTGACAAGAAAAAAGTGCAAAAGGGCCGTTACCATGTTATGGGATTGTGCTAGTCGTTGTCATGTTAATTAAATTACTTAATTTTCCAAAGTAATTTGAATAAGGATAATGAAGGTAGCTAATCAAATTAAATTAAATTAATCATAAAGATGCATGGTCACTTTTGCATGCCAGTGATTTGTCACCCTCTCCGCAAAATATTGGATAGGGATCGTCGGCGGGCGGTGGTGAGAGGGAAAAGCCAGCAAATGGGAGTGTGCTGATTGGGCAGCTGCAATACAAGGGAAGGAGATTTGGTTACGTACGTACGAGGATTCCCAGTCAAAGTATTCAGTCCAAAGTCGTTACTGATCAACAGTTTACCGTTTACACCGTCCATTTATTGAGTGTAAATTTCCTCCATTGTTACGGTTTACAGAATATTCATGGTTGCATATCAGTACATTCTCTATAATCTGAATTGGATCACTCAACCCTACACCTCAAACAATACTCACACGAGAATGAGAGATTTTTCAGTGTGACCGTCACAATAAAAACACGTGATATATCATCCGTATTTCCGTTACAACTAAAAATTTCTCCACGAGAAGAGAGATGGAAAGAATATGCTCATGGGTCATATTGGTCGTTTTTTTATGTACTGCGCATGAGGCTCATCGATCATACGATCAAATTAGAATCTTTCTCAATAAATAGTAAGACAAGTTTGAAAAGGTTTTTTAATGCTCAAATTTAACAATAGCAGTTTTTTTCACGAAAATTGTATGATGCGAGACATTATTTTAATTTTAATTATTTTTGCGAACAAAACTATCATCTATTTTTGTATGGTTGTAGGAGGCTATGAGCATGGTAACTTTATTAGTATTTTTACATTGATCTCTTCTCACATTGCTAAAGAAAACTGAAAATCTAGATTATATTCAACAAAAAAAAATAATAATAATAATGTACAACTAATAAGTTCTGACTTCTAATCATGTATATCATGAAGGACACATGGTGGCTAAGTGTGGTTGGCAGTATGAATCATAGAAACGCCACTGCTACAAACTTTAGTAGTTCTAGACTTCCTTGTTGTGGAAGCACGCATGGTGGCTATGCTAGGAAGTGGTGTCGGCCATCGTGGGAGGACAAACGGGAACGCACGGATTTTTTTATCATCCGATTCATGCTTAGCCAAAACCGTCTCTGTACGAATGTTGCAAATGAAGATGCATTTATCCGCTTCTAAATACACGATATCCTCATCAAACGAGTTCAAATGCAGCAGTTTAGTTGAAGCACGGTGCAAGTGACGAAGACCAGATTCATCGAGCATTGGGGACAAGGAAACGTTATATATCAAGCAAAAGTTTCCTTCCTCAATCTCTCCTTCGAACCCCCAAATATGAACGCGACTCCCATTGACCACATCTGTGAGGCACAAACAGCCTCGCCGCACACATAAGCGTCTAGATCTAGAGTAATCCGATTCATCTTGATGCTCGTGATCAATGTTAATGAAGCGACATTTATCGAAAACATCAGCATTACTAGTACTACCAGTAATGTTTTTGTTACTGTCGTATGCCAACGGATCCAACTCCATAATCCCGGCTTTACCCGACCAATACAACTTTCCTTTGAAAGCAACTCCTTCCGGCTGGGCCAAATTCATGTAAGACTCGCAGAACACCAAATGAGTTTTTGGTCGGCATGGTACAACAAACTCTCTCCATTCACCAGTCTCGGAAGAAAACATCACCATGTTTAATTTAAGAGCATTGTGTTTGTGATGAATTAGCACAACCCTGCACCTATATTCAGCGTTACTACTACTAGAACCATCTTGTTCCAAATTTTTATCATCTTCCCGGTAAGGATCGCAGATGAATCCTACTCTATCTCTACTCCATTCGAATTTCAATGGCGGAAGAGCAACCCATTGCATGGTGTATGTATTGCAGATATAGTAATAACTTTCCCCAGCTTCGTTGTTGCACAAAGCTAAGTCATTATACATCGACACTAACAGTGATTTGTAAAATACACCGTCAGAACGCCGCGGAAGGAAACTCTTAGTATAAAATCTCTGTGTTATAGATTTTGGGAGCTTGGGATATAGGCAACGATTGTAGCGACACATTGAAGACCAAGAGAACAACACACTACCCGTGATGGGATTTTGTTCTAATTCCCTTTGGAAACGTGAAAACTGGCGAACAAAATACGAACTATTGAGGAGCACGAACCAACGCTTGGACACGCACATGCATTGGAAAACAAAGTTGCAAGGGAGCCATGAAAGGATTCGAACGAATAGGTCCCTAGGGAGATCATCAATATTCACGACGTTCTTTTTATGCTGATACTCCATGGGGAAGGAAAGACTTGGAGATACCTAAGATGAACTGATTGTCTGATAGTAATTAGCTAGGGCGATACCGGAACTATATTCTGAAATTATGTCAAGAACAGGTTTACCGTAATATTTCAATCTGAGTACTCTTTGAATCTGTTCGTCGCATTGAGAAGGTAAATATATTATATATAGAGATTCATAAAGCGTGGACAGCAAGAAAGGCCAAATAGACGTAATCGTACAAGGATAAGTTATACACTCTCAATGCAGGAGACGGAAATAAAACTCTCCTAATTAGACAAGGATTACTATTAGGTTACTCCTAATCAGCTTCCAAATTAGTTTTCTTTCTTCTCGATGAAAACTCGCAAACAAACTGAAAACGAGAACTATTATTGGCATTCCAAAAAGCCTTACATTCCAATTAAAAAGAAAGCGGGATGACATTTCTATAGTGCCAATAACAACTCTATTAGAAATTTGAAAACTTAAAAATAAACCAGCCCTAAAGCTAGTAATAATTAACGAGGTATTAGAACTAACCTAGAGCGAAAAAAAAAAAAAAAAAAAAAAACTAAACCACAAATTAAAAGGAATCATAAAACAAATATGAATCGTATTTAATCAATCTTGATCTCTATAAAGGGGAAGGGAATGAACATGACCTCGTGTGCTGGGATGAACACGTTTAATCCTAGCTTTCGTCATTTAACAAAGATGAAAAGGCCTAATTACAAGCAACTAAAAGAAGGTGAATTCATTCCACGCAATACGAACCCAAATTTATTGAGACAGGCCTTCTGATACAATTGAAATCAACATCTTATGAAGGAATCATCTAAAATACTATTGATTAAAGTGGCTCGTTTTACTCGCAGCAGGATCAACTGCTCACCGTTTGGTAAACAATCCTTGAGTTAATGATGAGAAATCAAAATCGCTTCCTGACTTAGTTGAAGGGAAAGAAGATATTGGTGACGCTGATGAAAATCCGTTAGCTCTGATGTTTGTGACACCATTAATTGAAGTTACTGGCCTAGTCCTGTACATGCTGCAACAGAAAAGTTTCACAAAAAAATCACATGGTTAATCAATGTTCTTCATTTTTTTTATTTTCAAAAATATTTCAGTCCGAATCATATGGTTTCAGATACCGGCCTATATTATAGTATAGGGTGAATTTATCATGATCATGTCGAACTGATATATAATGTGTACCTTGATGTTTGGAAAGGAACTGTATTCCCTACTGGACGTGTATGATGGCTGTTTCCAATCTGGTGCAAGAAAAGCAATGACAAGATAAGAGATGGAACATCAAATGGAAAACACTAGTTGTAAGCTTTGTCATAAGCACAACCTGAGGATAATGTTGTGGATGAACAGGTACCAGGTATCCAGGAACTTGGCGACCAATGCTTTGCCCATTTCGGGCAGCTAAGAGCTGGATAGAATGGGAGCCAGGTTGTATGTATGCAGGAGCGGAATGGGATCCACTAGATTTCACCACAGTCGCCATGGGTAATGCTTGTTGTTGGGATGTCATTGCAAGTTGCTGCTGATGCACAGAGGATGGAGAAGCCACGCTGGACTGCCCAAAATCCAATATGAAATTTGTTAAACGTAAACCTACATAGTTCATCGACAGATCAAATTCTATCACAACACTGTATCAATAGTTAGATATGGCATGCTAAAGAACTTTGCAACATATACCTTCTTGAATAAGTTCATAAGGTCATTCTGCACATAATTCTGAGGTTTCATTAAAAACGGTTGAGTGTCGGGGGTTGGATGTACAAATAAATCCTCGAGACCACCATATTTTGGTAGAATCTTGCTTTCGGATGATTCTGGCCTTTTACTTTTCTCTTCTGTCAACTTTGTTTCAACTGCTGCATGTTAAAGAGGTACGAGGTCAGCGGTAAGGCCAAAGCCAAACTTGTAAGATGTAATCGATTTGGAGATTTTCATCGATGGAACGCGAGATAATGAAGCAACAGTTCTCTCATGATGATAAATAAAAGAAACATACCCTGGTTACTAGCCAATGTATTCGTATTGGCAGGTATCACCGAGTCATTTTCTATAGCTTCCTCCATGGATAGCAAATTGAACAAATGAGTAGCATAATCCACTTTAACTGGTACCGAAACGGGCCTAACACTACCTGCCTCACTTGCTGGTTCAACTTTCAAGACTACTGGTTTTGGTTCCTGTGCAAGTTCTTGTGGTTTAGGTTTCTGATCAAGTTCTTGTTGTTTTGGTTTCTGCACAAGTTCTTGTTGTTTTGGTTTCTGCACAAGTTCTAGTTGTTTTGGATCATGACTGATCTGTCCACCAAGAGCAACACCATCAACAGAGAAAGGAACCAAGAGATATACTAAAACAAGAAGCAGCATGATATGAATCAGTTGTCAATCGAGAGGGAAATAACCGAATAAAATCTACCTGCTGCGTGGTCAAGTTATTTGTACTGTGTGTACGACCACCTTTCTGCTCCTCAGAAAACTGTTCCATCTTTTTCAAATGGACATGTTGAGTACTAGTTTCAGGTCTCGCTCTATAAACGGAAGTCATTGCCTCACTCACCCTCGCAGGTGATTTCGCTTTTCCATCCCTAGGAACCCATTTTTTGTGTTCATACCTAATGGAGAACATAAGCACTCAAACACCTAAGCCCAAAATATGAACCGAAAATGAAAAACTAGTAGTGCATCATACATATACCAAGAATCTAAACGAAGAAAAAACGAAGTCATACTTTGCTCGAATGAAATTCTCGATTCCAACTCTGTCATACTTAGGAGGCAACTCGGCTTCCCAATAACTATTCGCTTTATCGTTTCCCATAGCTAGCAACCAAAATGAATTTCAGTACTTGCACCATTATTTCAAACTCGACTCCGACCAGAATGATAAGAAGCTGGTAAAACAGCATTGGTACTTACATTGGATAAACGCAACCTGCTCTGGGAGCCATGTATCCAAAGTGGCAGATCTCACCTACAAAAGCATCCAAATCATCAGAATAATGCAGGAAAAATTGAACCGAAATTCGTTAGCATAACGCAGAAAATATGGAATTGAGCACTATACAAACAGGAAAATGAATTCGAAGTTTGCATAGCCGAAAATTATACCTGTGATATATGTACCCCAAGACTCCTGTGGATCCCTGAACATTGCATGCATATGAAGATACCAAGATTCACGCTGGCCCATCGTGGAGCTCTGCAACAAAAAAATGAGGTAACATTACAACAAGTTACCCATTCATATAAGATGTTAAGGATGAAATAATCCTTTACCAAAATACAGTATTAAAACTAAATAGCTTGCATTAGTCGGTTTCTTCCCCTTGCTGTTTGCAATTCAACCTATCGTGTGCCTATGATTTAATGAAAAAAAAAAAAAATATTAATCTCAATAGTTCGTCACAATATACGTACTTGGTTTTGCAGTCTGCGCATTCTCTGTTATCTTGTAGTTTAAGAAGACCCTCCAATATCTACTTACAAAAAAAACAGGCAGATGAAACCAAACCAAATCAGAGGTAATAAGATGAACATCCACTCTAGCTCAGGTAGACAGGGTCGTAACCAAAATAAGATTAAGAATCACTCTAGGGTATTTTAAGAATAATACGGGACGGTGACAATATCATAAGGATTCGATGTGGAAAAAATTGAGTACCTGACTGTTGACTACCTGAAGCCCTCCTATGGTTTGAGACCGGCAGCGCAAGATAAACTTAAACGGTTGGTGACAATGATCAAAAATAAAATTGTTGATGGGTTTTGAAGAAATTTTCAAAACCGATAAAAATCATGACTTACAAAAACCCAGTTTGATCAGCCAAAATAAAAAAGCAGCACTGAAAAAGTTCATGAATCACTAAAGCACATAAACCCAATTACAGTTTTCCATCTAGAAGCAAACTTGGAGCGACATCCTTTTTTTTTTCATTAAACAAACACTGAATTTAGTAATTATCTCTATCCAGTCCAATCCAATCCTATCTAATCCTTAACACCAAACAAGGCCTAAGATTGCAAGGTATTATGCCATAGCCAACTTGGAACATATCTGTTAATTCATGCTGAGCTAAAAACTCAAACCAACGAAGCCAAAAACTCCATTCCCGCAATAATAAGGACTTGCGGGAATGGAGTTCACAGAACTTGAGTAAAAATAATAGAGAAAATCAAATCTTTGAACCAAAAGTAGAGAAAATTACAGAACTTGATATTACAAAAGTAAAAAAACGAAGGGAGAGAGACACCTTTCTGTGTTTGGCATTAAGCTCTTTTGAAACGCTAGCCTTCTGGTTCATGTTGCTGCTGTCACCCAATTATCCAAACACCCTCTCTCTCTCTCTCTCTCAAAAACTCTCTCTCCTCTGTTTCTCTCTCTAAAAAAAGTTGCGTCTTTGTTTGTGCTTCTGGAAATGGGAAAAGTGGGAATATTTGCTTTGCTGATGATGTCGTCGTTGTGTGTTGGACATTGGAAGGTGGCATGGACTTATTGGCTTTTTCTCTTCGCGTCACGCGTGTTGTTGGCCTTTGACGGCGCCGTCCTCAGTTTTTTCATTCGTTTGGAATTTTCTTCTCCACTCTACTGTTTGGTTTAACGACCAGACAACCATACATATTTTTAGTCCCTTTTATTTAGTCCCAACCCTCTTATCTGCCGCTTCCGTCGATCAAGAAAACAAAACAATCTGTCGCTCCCTGTGCAAACTCTACCTTGTAAATACCACCAATTTTTTGTAATTAGAGGAAATACGTTTTATTTCGGCCTGACGTGTTATGTTGTAGAAAATATAGGTTGGTTATCTAATTCATCTCGACAGCATAATATATACACAACTTGACACAATACATAAACAAAGTATTCTCCTTCCTTTAGATTATGTGGATTAAATCAAAATCCAATGCAACGAGCAAGGTAATACCAAGTTTTCATAAGCAAGAAAGGGATGACTTGTAATTAATTACTTTATTAGGTACAAATATGCATAAATTATGCCCTGATTATGATGTGGGTTACTGCCTCATAGGATCTCTTGCTGACGAGAACGACTTTCATGGCACAAGTACTCTCCTCGCTACACATTATGATTGATGCATGGTTGTAATATTAATTTGGTCCTTTGGTTTGGTTGTACCAACACCAATAATACATATTTTTTTAAAAAAATTTAAATCATCAATTATAAACACCAACTAAACACAAAACATAAAATATTATCTTTGAGAAATATATTGTAAAAAATACATGAACGAACTAATTGAACACCTCATCTTCAAAGAATGAGAGAGTTGATCCAAATCCAAACCCAGGTAATATGACAGAGGTAAAAATATTGACACACGGAAAACCAAAAATCGCATTCACGTACACGAGAGAATGCTTCAAATCACTCCCTCTTCTTGTTTAACATCTTCTTCTCCACGTCTCCGCTGTAAGGAGCAACGTGGTACGCATATTGCTGAAGAACCGAAAACACAACCATCTCCAAACATGTCAAGACATTTTGAATAGCTTCCTCGATGTGCTCCACATCTAACCAGAAATGGTGAGATCGAATGACACCCACAGCAGCTAATATGTCAATGACCACTCCCTGCGATTGGATCAAAACCTTGTGTGTTAATAAATGGCACAATCAAAAGTTTATAGAGTGAGTTAAGTCGATAATTGGCCTTAAAATAATCTTTAGGTGGCGTTTAACCAAAAGCTGATCAGTTACAAAACCGAGAATGACAAACCAAGGTTGCAAATAATCACTCTTAGATTGTAGTTCTATCAAATTATGCGAACAGTTTGGAACAAGTAAAATAAGTTTCATATCCTTTTCCTCGGTATCTTTGTGGATTTGTTTACATTCTATATCCTTGGCTGCATTTTCTCTAAGGCTGCATACACAAATTGGGCATGCAAAAGAATGAACGAGATGTACCTGCCAAAAGACGAAGAAGACAATTCCCTTGATGCACAGGAACTTTGCAAGGGGCGAATGCGGTGCCAATTCCTTTGCAAACACATGGTAAAACAGCACTAGAGAGTACAATGCTAAGGAAACAGAAAGGTTAAGAATCACAGTGAAGGTCCAGCCCAACCAACTGGGGTACAGCCCAAGTGCTTGTAGAGTTATCATCAAAACAGAACAAACTGGGCGTATGATGACAAACTGCCACGTCCAATATTTGAGTAGCTTCAGGGTCTGGTGGTTTAACCGAACAGTGCGAGGCTGCAGTTTGTAAAGCCACATTGTATCTGTTATTATATGATAGATTTAACATACACAATGAATATGCTTACATATCCATTGCGATGAAAACTGAAACAGCATAGAGCTAACTCGTACCTGAAAAAGAGTCATAGGAAACGAGTGGTGAATTTCTCTTCCTTGATTTCATCTGGCACGATATTTTTGCTTATGGATATCTTCAGGTAACTATACATAAGAGCCAAGAACTTAGCAATTACCTGGAAGTAGAACACAAGAAGTTAGCATTTGTACAAGCCATATGAAACAGTTGACAATAACAAAAACCGTAATGAAGTTGGAGGCACTCACCAAAGCCTCGTAACATTCCTTAATAGAGTCCAAAAACATGAAAAATGTTTTGCTTCCCTTAATATCCAATAAACCCACAAAGGAGTCAACTGCATATATAGGAGCCATAAGAATAATAATTATTATCGCCTTCTGCTCCTTCGGGTTCTTCCAGTAAAAGAGATGTTGCGACAATAACTGTATTGTGAAATGCATTGTAAGCATCACACAACCTGCGGATCCTAGCAGGGTCAACTGGCCACGATCCATTGTACTTAAATCCATTATTCAGCAGTCGGATGGAAGCCAAGGTTGCAATCTCCCCAAAGAATATTAAACGATCCTCCGATTCTACATGTTAAGTTCAATGTGGAAGGTAAAATAAGTCAGTCACATCTCAAGTGATGCATATTCAAGCATGCCTATCAAAGTAAACGTTTACAGGAGCAACACCTCAAATAGACATCTACAATCTCCATCAACATATATGTTCTCGAGCATCTACATACTACAATCTCCGAATTGCCTAACATTGTTAACGTCTTACTCCAAAATTTCACACTACAGTTGGTTGTTAAGGAAAATTCACGATTATTTCAAGTAAACCAGAAAAATTCACGATCATTGAGAGTACCCTTTTTCCAACTTTTCACTTCCTCGTAAGATTTTAGTTCAGATAGCCAGTTGGCCACCATTATACCTCTAAAGCTCGAAAATTCCAACAAAACAACCATCTTGATTTCACTAGACATATAAGCATTTCGTCTGAGTTTTCTAAAACAACTGACAATTCACACAGAAAAGAATAACACGGAAAACCCATGATTAATCGAAACTAACATAACGAAAAACAAGATTATTAGATAACGAATTTGAAATGTTGATGAAAGAAAAAGAGCAAGGTTTTTCTGAAACAGTTCAACTTGTTCCAGAAATCGTATTAAAGCTAATGTCTTTAAATAAAGATTGTATACAAGTTGCAAGAATTGAAGGAGCAGAAAAAGAAGAAGAAAATCACCCGAATCCGAATCCGAGTAATTGAGTGGATCCAATTCACGAAATCTGAGAGACCCTTCTGTGTTTGTGCTGAAATTTAAGTGAAGGAATGGGATTCTCGCCGACCCACCTGAGCTTGTTATTTGAATTGGATCAGTGAGTGTGCATGCCGATTGCTGTCTTGTTATCGGAAGCTGAATACTTTACTCATTTATCACATGCCAACAACCCTCTCAATCTCTCAAGGTGGGACTATGTTTTGCAGTGTCATCGTAAAGAAGAAGGATTCTCTCATCTCTTTTTTTTTTCCTCTCCTTTCCTTATCTCTTATTTGAATAGCCACAATTAAACCATGACAATATCTTATATTAATTTATTATAAAAAAAAAATAAAATATGAGAGAAAAGAATGGAAGAGGATTGAAAGCGGACGAAAAAGAATCTTAGTCCTTATGGAAATTGTGCCCAAAAGGTGAATCCCACTTTTGAAAGAACCTCATTAATATTTATCATCGTGTGATTTTATACACCGGGACGAGGTATTGTCTTCCCTTTTGTGCTCCCGTGACAACTAACGCTAGTTCATGTCACGGGAGAGACCTTGTTCAAATAATTCGACTGCTATATTAGCCGCCTGCCCGCCATCAGCGCCATCCCTCTAATTGGTCTGAACCTCATGATCCATCTCTACATACGTATAGCATTCGTTATGTACATGTTCAAATGGCACGTCTTTTGTATGAAAATTGGAAACTGAATGATCCTTTATCGGTAATTTATTCTCATAATACATGATTTCGACATAAGCATTGCGATACCACATATGCGCATCCAGCGTTATTCTAGACCAGACATCACGAGGTGTAAACTATATTGTTCACTTGATCACACTTAATTGCAATAATCACACAACGAGCAGTATCTTTCCGATATGCTGGCTACTTTCCATGAGCCAGGTGAGCTTCCGCTGCTTCAGATAACGGAAAGACTTGTATATCACAGTTTTCACCTTGCCAGCAACAATTGCTGGCCACACATTGTTCTCCACCTCCCTAACAATTACCGCTTTGTTCTCGGGACTTCTGTATCGCAAGCCAGCAGCTGCATACACAACCAACCATATAATATAAGGATGTAACTAACACAAATTATTAGATTACACAATGCACAAAAGCTTTTTGCAAATGTGAGGAGAACAATGTCACTAATAACTGGAAAAATCAGTACTTGATTGAAAGCATATCACTTAAACTACGTCAACATCTTAAATGAAAAAACCCACACTCGAATGTCCAAACCATGTTACTAAGACCCAGTATAAATTCTACTACCTTGGATGGTGAGACGCCTCGAAAGCACAACACGAAGGTCTAATTCTGTAACAGGACCACTCATGAGCCCAATAACAAAAAGCCTCCCATCAAAGTTTAAGCTGTCAAGGTTCCGCCGAAAATAGTCTGCCCCAATGCTATCCAAGATAACATCAACACCTGCCATTGTTGTATACCAATATGTTTTTTCTCTTATCCCATAGTACCACTAAATAAAAATTAAAAGGTACTGGTAATCTATTTTTGGGGATGACTAATGGGGTGTTGATGCGAGTTGATGCAAGTGACCAAACCTTTGCCGCCTGTTTCTTCTTTCACCCGTGCAACAAAGTCCTCTGTCTTGTAATTGATGCATACGTCGGCTCCAAGATTCTTGCAAACGGCTAACTTTTCCTCATTTCCTGGAGATCAAGATTTATATCAATAAACATGAAAAACTGATTTTTTGCCATAAAAAAAGAAAAAGAAAAAGAAAAATCGCTGGCTTACCCGCTGTGACAAAAACCCTTACTCCCTGGTATTTGGCTATCTGAATCGCAAATGTACCAATTCCACTGGAGCCCCCATGAACCTGAGATTTTAGCAGGTCGTTCAGTGATATATAAAGCGATGCATCA